CAAGGGAAAATAAAGACTCATTGCAGATCCCAAAAACATAATAATCGTGCATTTGACTTTTTGGAAAAAGTGGCAAGAAAATAAAATAAAAAAATATCTAGCCACCTGGCTCTATGAAGCTGGGAATTGGGACAAGACAAAGAGAAGTGTTGTTTATAAGCCATCATTAGAGTGTTTCATGTTTAGACTGCTGTTTTTTCAACAGACCTCTATTATCTCCTCTAGTAGTGACTGTCAGATGTGGAAACCAAAGGAATATCAGAAGGACAAGATCTCCACCCTCATATCATTCAGAGTTGTATCTGGCCAGACTTCTCCAGCCAAATTGGCCCCTAAGTGTGACTAGGATTTAAAACTAGAGGTTGCAAACTGTGAGCCCTCTTCTGCTCAGAGATATGTTTGTTTGGACTGCATTACGCTCTGAATCAGCTGACATCATTTATAGCTCAAGAGATCGCCTAAGTTTCAGAAGCTTTGGCCACACTTAAGCTTCAGCAGACTATAGGTTGGCCCTTTTCGGATGGGGCATTTCCTTGCCGGCTCCTCACTGGCCTGCTTCACTCACTTGCATCAACTCCCTGGCCCTTTCAGGCTTTAAATGAACTTGTATCTCTGGTCTGATCCTCCTTCAACCCAAAATGATGGCCAACTCTTGACTAAAGACCCTATATCAGGTTGCTGCTTGTACTGACAGTTAGAAACAAAAAATCAAATACCACATCGTCTAAAGCAGATGGTGGGCCTTTTTCTCTCCTTAATACAGGGGACTCTGTGCAAAGTCTTACTACAGACACACATTTTAATGAAACTGCTGTTCCATTGCCTGGTGGTGCTGTCCAGCACAGACACCCTTGCCTGAGTTTACTGTCAATACTACTAACTTCCTTGGGAACAAAAATTTATGGAGAAAAAAGTGTCAGGAAACATTATTTCTTCTAATTGCTAATAGATGCAGAATTTTTCTTGCGTCCATAATAAGTGAAAACGAAGAACATAGGACAAATTCGCATTCCTTGAATCTGATGTTTTTGCAAAAAACATGATTACATTTTAGGTTGTCCTTGGAACTCAAGAATTGTTTCTGCATTCAAACCAGGTACACCTGGGGTAGTAGAGAGTGAGCTAACTGCCCATGTGTGTGATTTGCTGCAAACAGTTCAGCTTGACTGCTGTGAAGTTATGTGTTGAACAAGGCAGCTATGATAGAAAGTGGACTGATGCCTCCCTGGCACCTCTCTTTAATATTCAGTGTTCATTATAATTTAGGGTCTCTTAGATTCTATCAAAAAGGTCTTATTACCCACGAGACCACTGCATTCTCTGTTTTTACCAAATCAGTGGCCTTTTAGTCCAACGCCTAGAAGTCAGATTTAAAACAAGGAGAACCCAGGCAGGGTATGATTGTACAGTCCATCTCCACCTTCAGCTTTCAGGCTCTGGGGATAAAAGAAGTGCAGAAAAAGGGACACAAAGATGACCTGAGTCACAGGCAGTAGGCTCTATGTGAGATGTTAGATGGATTTGGGATCCCCTTTTCTCTTCTGTTCCCTCCAAAATTTGCCTTTCCTTTCACAGACCACAAGTACAGCCTCACCTCCCTGTCGGGTTCATGTAATGTGGCCCAGATCTATATTTCCCTTGCTCGGGACTTGTATGGGAAGCTTGGGTTCACAGGGAGATACGTATTCCTGTAAATGGAGCAGCTGGATTATTGGGCTCTTGGCAGATTTTAGAAAATGAGACTAAGTTGTCCTTACTCCTGAGCTACTTGTCTGCAAGTCTAAAAAGTAAAAGTAAGCTCCGTTTACAACATGAAGTCACTGCTCGTTGGTCTGAAAGCCTTGTCAGAGATTCTCTCATTGGCATAGTTGATGCCATTTCCATTTTTGTTGTCATTTTCCTGTTTTGTTTTTCCCTCCCCTTCCTTCTGGATGTACCTTTTTATTTTTTATTTTTTTGAAATAAAACATCCCTGAGTGGATACAGTGCAACATCTGCATCAAGCAGTGATTGTCATTTACGAAGCATGGAGTAAAAAGTAGGGCTCGTGGGTCATTTTTTCCAGTGCACACTTTGCCATGAATGTGTTGTGAACATTTGTGAGTGTTCACGGGGAAGGGACGAGGATCGCGTGTGGTAAAGGAAGTTGTTCTTAACCCAACTTTCAAAATACCTTGAGCGGGAGTCACAGCAGATGTTTAAAGGGCAGCTTGTAAAAGTGCTTTGTTACCATCAAAAGTATGTCTTCGGTTCTCTTTTAAGGGACCGATTTGGCCAACGTGGGGGAGAACGGAAATCTCGTTCCTCAACCAAAGTGGGCTGAGCGCATACTGGTTTCCACTGCTCTGTTCCGTTTCAGTCTCTAGCTGTTTCCTATCCCCTCACTTCAAAAGGTTCATGCAGTCCCAATTAAATGCCTGCACTAGTGGAAACGACACAAATTCAAATCCAGTACCTCCTGAGGCAAATGTGGGGAGCAATCTCTTTTCCTACATCACCCATGGGACGAGGGAGGAAAAAAATCCTTAGCCACTTCATCAACTGGGCCAATTTAAACCCTCCAAGGTAAACCATCCTCTTTGCAACTGAGCAGGAATTACAGGCTGACAATGGAGAACACCAGGCCAACAGAACAATGAAAACAAACTTTGACATAAGTTCAAAGCTCAAAGGGAAACACCAAGTAGACACATTAAATGTCGCGCCTATCACAAGCCAATCATAAAACATACATTGCATTTGGAAACGGCTTGGTTTAATTGAGTGCCTTCCATTACCCTGTTTTCCTAGCAATCAGTAAAGTAATCTTTCCATTAGAAGGAAATATGACTCTTGGAATTAATTCTTTATACAAAGAGCTAGCAGGAGTGACATTTACACCAAAAAGAATTGAGTCCCTGTAGCAGCATAATAAGCAGTCTACAGCTGTCTTCTTAGACACTGAAGTTAATTTGGTCCAATGTAGTTAAATTAATTGAATATAACAGTAGTTGAGAAAGAGATTCATTATTTTAAAGCCTTTTTGTTTTCCCCCATTGGTTTGGAATTCATCAATCATGAGGTGGAAAAAGACTCTGTTTTCTAAAAGAAAAGGCTGCACTTCTGTTTGATCACCAGTGAGGAGTTCTGTGGCATCGAGGCGAGGGCTCTCCACCATGTAACTCAGGAAAGCATAAGAGATGAACCAAGAACTCAAAGCTTCTACTGATGGCAACTTTATAAAGCAGGTGTGCATGCTTGCGTGGTGTGTGTGTGTGTGTGTGTGTGTGTGTGTGTTTGAAAGGATTAAGGGATTGTACTTACAGGAAATCATCATTTTCATTGTTTTATACATAAAGCTCTCCTCTCCCTTTTTAAAAAACCCAATTTTGGATAAAATAAGTCCAGAAATATAAGGCCTCAGACCACAAGTAGAACAAACTCCATAGAATTTATGTGTGGGTTTTTGTTGTTTTTTTGTTTCCTGGTGATCAGTTTGATTGAAGAGCAGGTGGAGAAGTGAGAATTTGTACTAGGAAATTTAAACTCTCTAATTCTTATTTCACCTCTTCCGATCTGTACTTTTAAAAGATGCTAAGAAAATAATCTCAGGCTAGATGGAGAATGTAATTTCAAACCGCCTAGGAAAGAGTTTGGCTTTGGGGTGTATTTCTTTTATATAATAACTCAGATAACTTTTTTTCCAATCTGTCAAGTTTTTGCTATATTTTTATAATGCAAGGTTTGGGAATTGGAAAAAAAACTAGAGGCTCCTGATTAAAGGACATATAAAGTCCTGCTTTCCCTTTATTGCTGCTTTTTCTAACAAAATTATTAAAGAAAATGGATATAAAGAACTACTTCTTTACTTTGTATATTTTCTTTCTACTTCTTCTTTGCCAAAAAGAAAAAACGGTTAGAGAGAAAATGTTTGCATGAAATGGCATCAGGACCCTAGCTTTTGATTTACTCCAATTTCATTAGAAAAAATTGCTGGTGATTTTAATCTACAGACAGTATTTCTCTGTTGAAGACACAGTAAGCACCAAAATAAAGTTTCCTTCATAACCTGAAATCCAAAGAAAAAAAGTGTTTTATGTGTCCCGGTGAAAATCTATTGTTTGGTCAAAAAAGTCCTGGCCTCCACAATATTACCTGTGGCCTAATTCTTAAAACAGGAAAATGGCTCCAAACACTTATATTTCCCCTCCAATGTGTACCATCTTGACAAGGCTTTGATGTCATTGATAGAAACAGAGTTTTTATACAGAGGCTATGCTTCCTTTGCAGACTTCCTTTGCAGACTTATTTCTGAATTGGTACTATCTTGCCACTGACACTCTGGTTGGGAAAACAAAATCCCGATTGTCTAACATAAAGGTAACATATAACACAGAAGGTAAATAATATAAGAGAGCCTGACTGAACCCCCTTTGATAATAGGTATGTTATTTTAAGCCACAGTGCATGTGCATGTATAAGTAATTGTCATATATAATATTCTCAGATATTATATACTTATTACATTATGCACAATGCTTTCCAAGACAGCTACGAATTTACACATGCATCAGCTACCTAAAAACATAGAAATAGGAAAACCTATTCAGTGGGATTTTCTTAAATTATATTTAAACGATCAACAGGAAAAGTAATCATGTAAAGTACTGCTCTGTTCTCGTATATATCTACAATAAAATTCTATAAACAATTATCTCCCAAAACATACCCGAATAAAATTACAAAAAAAAAAAAGAGAGAGAGAGATAACACCCAGTGTCCTATATTTGTATATTTATGGTCATTTCAAAAACAAACAAACAAACAAACAAACAAATAAAAGAGCCCCACTCAGGTGCATATTTACATTCTTCCATCTGTAGCGGTGAAAAATAATTCTATTAAGTGCAGGACATTCCTAATGTTGCAGTAGTGACATTTTCCTTAAGTCTTCATGAACACATTGCTTTTGTGTTAATGGTGATGCATTCCAGGACCATGAGACAGTTCTGTCGCTGCCTTCATTTGCAGACGGTGGCACAGTCAGGATTAAAGAGCTCCTTGTATAACGGAGGAAAGAGTGTATTCACTATGTCTGGATGCGATTGCTTAAATACCTGCAGCTTCTCCCCGTGCAAGTTGCAAACTGCCGTGATGGTCGGAATCTTGGCTATTAACTGCAGAATGGAGGGGCAGGGAAGAAGACAAAGGGGGAAGCTCATTAGTGCTCTGTCTTCTGAAGCAGTGTCCTTCTTGGCCCCGATGAAGGGAAATGGCTTTAGAAAAAGATGTTCAGAGAGACAGAAGGCTCACTTTCAGCTTTTCCTTTAGAATAAAACAAAACAAACTGCTCCTCCTACTCCCCCACCCCACCATCCTCTAAAGGGAAAAATACAGAGAAAGAGAGCTGGACCAAGTTTCCTGATTCCTTGTTCTTAAATAAAGTCTGGATGGGAGGTAGTCTAATTTAAGCCTCAGGAGTGGGTGCTCTGGAATCCTGATTCCAAAACAGCTAATTGGCTGTGTGGCTGTGACACTCACAATGCTTCAGTCTTCTCGTTTGTAAAATGGACACAGCACCTGCTTCACTGGGTTGTTGTGTGGACTGAGTGAGGTAATTATACCAAAGTGTTAGGAAGTGTTAGCTAATATTATTTTCTATTATCTCCCGAAAACTTTTGTGATATATTAGGTTTTTAGTTTGAGAAGGAGAAGACGTTAAGAAGGGGTAGCCTAAGCCACATGAGATGTAGTTCATAATTACCTGGACTGCTTTGCTGTCAGGATCACTAGCCTGCCTACATCTCTCAGACCCCTTTCTGCTGTAATGCATGAAATGAAACTACATTTAATCAAGGGAAAATTCGGGAGGTCACTGCCAATTAGCTTCCTCAGGAAGATGTTTTAGAAACCTGGGTGAGAATATCCACTTATAATTGCTAGGTTTTGAATTACATATATAACGTAGGATGTTATTTTGAGTTCAAATAATAGGGAGACCATGCTTTTGTAATAATGTCCACAATTTGCCAAATGGTGTAGAAGTCTTAAGACATGACCTGTAACATATTGTAACTTAGGTATACTTAGAATCTACCATTTAATGTTAACATCAGCTTAAACCCAAATCTGATTGTGGTCCAATTACTGTGGGGCTGAGGTATGTTCTTATTTAGGGAATAGTCTTACAAAAGATAAGCTTGATCATTCATATAGCTCACTTGAAAGTGATGATAAGATACAATTTAATAAAACCTATCTAATCACCCTGTAGGTTCACTGTGCTCCCCACCCTACTTAATCATAAGAAACCATTGCACTCTTTGAAGTACAGGAGGAAATAGATAATTAGGTAGTTTGCGGCTTTCCGAAATTTCCACTCTTTCATTAACTTTCCTTTAAACAACTGATGATGACATTGTCATACTATGAACAATTTAAAAATAGCGGTATGACGAGAGCTGTTGACATATTTATTAAAGGGATCTAGAACACATGAAGAGGTCTGGTGTTCAGACTTCCCATTCCCGCTGCTGTTTACTGATAGGGATAGAAATGAGACATGTGGAACCTTTGTCTACCAAATGAATGTTAAATTTTAGTCTGAGAGTGAAGACCTTCTGTCCAACACTATGAGTTACTTCAAAACAGACTGGTTCTTGCTAATAATAGACTTGGAAAGACAGATGTGAATCAAGTTGCCACACAGACAAAAGCAAGTGAAAACCTGTAGTGAGGGCTGTGGAAGAATGATGCTGGAAGTGCTGGCTATTAGGACATTCTGGCTTCCTCTGGCAGGCCAGGATGGCTTTCCCCAGAAAGTGCCATTAAAAAAAAAAAAGCTTTATTGTTGAATGTGTTACATATGTCCCCTTTTCTCCCTTATTGACCTCATCTAGCCACCCCTACCCTCCACCGCAGGTCCTTCATTATCCTGTTGTCTGTGTCCATGCAAGTATGCATACAAATTCTCTTCCCTCTCCCCCTCCCTGCCTTCTGAGGTTTGACAGTTGGTGTTCAATGCTTCTGTGTTTCTGGATCTATTCTGTTCATCAGTTTATTTTGTTCACTAGATTCCACATATGAGTGGGTTCACATGATACTTACCTTTCCCTGACTGGCAGAAAGTGCCGTGTATACTGGGCTCTGAAGGGTGAGATCTAACTAGCTGCTGGGGCCGAGGTTACAGACTGTGCCCCAGAATTGTATGCAAAGGTGCTGTGGTGTTTGGGGCGATGGAAGTAACTGAAGGAAGTTGTGTTATCGGAGCAGTGGGTGAGCATCTCCAAGGATAAAGCTGGAGATGGAGCTTACCAGATGACACAAGGTTTCAGTTAAGGTCTTTGTAAGGGTTTTGAGCAAAAAGAGAAAGATGATTAAAAGCCCATTCTGAAAGATTTCACTATGGGTCCAGAATGGAAAACTGCATCTTTTCTATTAATATGTTCTCATGGACAAAGAGCGTGTGAGTGTCCACTTAACTAGAATTCCTTGGGAAATTATTCAGGCTCTCTTAACCAGCTGGTTTGCAAGAAGGAGACTGTAACAGTGTGAGAACAGTTGTCGTTCTCCCTGAAATTGCTACCAAAGGCAGAAAGGCTGTGAAAGCTTCCTACGATCATTGCAGATGAATTGATGATGTGCAGAGCTCCTGAAACTTCCACAAGCATCTCAGGAACGCTTGTCGATCTTTAGTGTGTGTGAGTCCCTGGGGTGCTTTCCGCAAATGCAGGTTCCTGGGATCTACCCCTGGGGACTGTGAGGTGGAGCTCAGACCCCACATTTGTAATGAACATTCCATGGGGATACTGATGTAGTGGGTCCATGGGAGAGAGAGTTTGAGAAACACCTGTTTCAGAGGTTCAAATTGTATACATTTACAACTGTTCTTCAAAATTGAAAGTAAATTACTTGTTATGTTTGAAACAGTCCTGATAGCTGAGTGTAAAGTTAGCTCATTTTCAGGAGACAGACAAGCAACTATATTGGGAGAGGGAAGAGTCGGTGTGCTTAGTCCTATTCGTTTGCTGAGGGACAATCATGCAATTCCCGAGTCTCCTATGACACAAACACTGTACAAGGAGGAGAAGCTGAATGACTAAAACCAAAAGCAACACATGGGTTTGAGGCCTGACTGAATCCTGCATCTGCTGTTTCTAGCTGTGTGATCTTGGGCAAGTCCCTGAACCTCTCAGCTCACTTCTCTACCAGATGGCCATCACGGCAGTTCCTATATCAGAGCATTATTGTGAGATGAAATGAGACAATACAAACACCCTGTAGCAGAGCCTAACATGATATATGTGTGTCAACATACGTGTTAGGTGTCATGCTTCCATTCCCATATAATGCTTCCTTCAAGGAGAGAAATATCTAGTCAAGACCACACTTTTTTTAGTCAAATGAGACACAAGGCAAGAAACCAGCTTAGCCCTTAACCAAGCACCAAAAATCGAATCTTTGTATATCATGTGTGCAGACAAAATCAGCTACTTACTTCTATTGAAATAAAAAAATTAACATATTAGTTTTCATTTTCTTGTAGCAATTAAAATAAGTTGCTTGTTTAATAAACTGTGATCCATAAAATCGAATCCTAGGTGTTATGATTCTTCAAGAGGTTTTTTGTTCCTTTAGAGAAGGATGATGGGGATGGGAAATGAAATCTATGAGACAAAGACTGAAACCCTTGCTCATTGCACCAGAATTATTTGACCATGTGTTTGGTTGTAGAAAGGGAATATGGACTCTTGATTCTTTCCTGCCTAAAACTGGGTTTAAGGGGCATCTGATTCAGAAACTCATTCTCCCCTCTTCTATGGGACTTGGATTCTTCCCTGTTGCTCATCTGGAGAATGGGCTGAATGGTGAGATTTGCTTTTGGTAAAAGAACACTGGGACCACTCGACCTAGGATCACTGAGAAAGGCAAAGAGCTTCCCCAACCTCTGTGCTCTCGGAAGAGGCTGGTTTAAAGGCGTCCAATCAGCTGTGGAAACAGAAGTGCTGACAGGGGCATCCATCACTCTGGAGGCATGGTGGGCCAGGAGGCCACACAGGCAGCAGTAGTGCTTGTCAGCGCCCAGAAAGGCCTGGTGGAGGAAGCAGCTGGCAGTCACTCATTGCTCATCAATATTATGTACTACCGCTGGGGGACCCCCATTTCAAAGGGAGCTCGGAGCAGCCTCAGCAGCAGTTAATGGCTCAACAACTTTTTAAACTGCTGGGGAGGTGATCCCGAAGCACTTGGAGATGAAGGGGGTAGTCAATTTCAAATCATCATGAAATTTTTTCAAGCTTAAGTAATCCCCATAGCGGGGATAGACAGAGGGTCTATAAAAAGGCATTTTCACACTCATCTCTTTCTCATAGAAGCATTTTTATAAGAAGGAAGCTTTAGCTTATACCTATCGGGTCTACAAGAAGAAAAGGCAGCTGTTGGAGAAGAGATAATAATTCCTATGCCTCTTTCCAGAGGGCACTTTTATGAGGAAAATCCATAATTTTATAACTAGCACATTTGATGTTGAAAACATGAAACCTGAAGAGCATAAAACTAGTGATCTTGGTCATAAGGGCTCCCAGGCCACCAAATGCTCTCCAACCTGACTGAGGCAGGAAGCCGACAAGGGTTTGATCAAAGTGTAAGAAGCTCCAGAAGCACTGATAAAAACGGAGCACAAGTGAGGCTAAATAAATCCATTTCACTTGTTCATTCATCTTTGAGCTTTTATTTAGTAGCTTGACACTATGATAATAGAAAGACAGACTTCCATTTCTATAATGATTTTACAGTTTTGTTATTGTTATGCTAGAAATGGACTTAGGAATGAAGAAGTTAGTGAGCCTGTGGTTTTGTGCCTCTCCCAGCCCTACCTATCACAGTTCCCCCTGGGAAGGCTGAAGTCTTCCAGATCCTAAGGGAAGGTGAGTCTCAAAGAACAGACTCGTCACCTCGTGGTGCAGCCATTCTTGGCCAGGTCATTCTCCCCATGGTGAACCCGAGATCTCCATTGTGCTTTTGTTAACATGGCATAACTTTAGGCTAATAGCTATGGAGGAAGGGATGCTGTGTGGCATCTTCATGGACAGCAAAAGCTTTAGTAAGACTAATACTAATAAAAAAAGAAAATAATAGTATTGCTGTTATCTCTCCTTGAAGGGATAATATTTCCTGT